CCCACCAGTTCCGTCCGACAAGGCGACCTTCTTCATCTGGCTGTCTATCTCCAAAAAAGAAGTTGGTCAAGCGTAAGAAGCGAGCACACTTATGAAACCACCAATCGTAAAGACCGTGTAGCCCGTCAGATGGCTTGAGAGATCGGATAGCGAATGGCATCACGAAGTTGTAGAATAGCAGATCGACGGGGAACTCCAATACAGGGACTGTGGCAGACCAGTGGATCGGGAGAACGCCATCTAGGCCATAATACAAACCCCAGACAACCCCTCCGAGGCAGATAACAACCAGCGCGCCATACACTAGGGCACTGAATGCGATTTTGCGCAATTGAGTCGTAATATTCCTTTCCAGGACATCGCGCACAGGGTGGAATGTTGGATCATCAGGATCGCGGATAAAGTCTTGCATAATGGTCAGTAAATGCCAAAGACGAAAAATAGGAGTAGACTTACAAAGAACGCCACTCCTCATGATCTTCCTGCACATCGAAACGAAAAGAGCAAAGTGGAACATGTAGCAAGTGCCAATGAACCAATGCACAAAAAGCGATGTCAGAGGAGAGGAAGCAGTGAACTCAAGGCGTGATGCGATGGTAGCATTCTCGAACAATGGCAACAGCGCAACATCGAGTAGAGAGCCGCAATACAACGGGAAAACTATCATCTCGATCCCAATAATGAGAATCACTTTCATGACCCCGCCACCCTGATGTATCACATCCGCGATGAGGCCCTCAACCCTTTGGCGACGCTCTGCGCCGGAGAGAAGATTCGTGACACGGAGGTAGAGTAGTCCAACAACCGATGCTAGTATGTAGCCTAGTAGAATGGCGATGACCCGGTCCTTGGTATCCCAAACAGCTAATTCTTGGGAGATATTGATGCCACTAGACGAGGTTCCGTTTAGGCCAGCCATAAAGACATTTGTTCCATTCGAAGTGTAAAGAATCTGGTTCCCCAGGCTGTAGATCTGATCGCGTGCTTGGATCATCAGACCAGTGAAGTCGATGGTCTCGCGACCAAAAGACAAGGCACCGGGAAGCCCGTCATTCAACAGTCGGAGGGGGAAGTCGTGCACAATGAATTTGCCGACGGAGAAGACTGTTCCAATAAAATAGGAGATGCGCGCCTGGTGAATTTTGAGAGCGTGGTGCGAGAGTACGGAGAACATAGGAACGTCGGATTCGTGAAACACGAAAAACGATTGGAGGGCGTTCCGTAGACGGGAACTGCTGGCATCAATGAGCGATAACGAGGCGCTGGTTACGGCCTTGGTTTCGGGGATCCAATTGGCCACTGGAGCAAATGCAATGAAGGGCCCAAGCAAAGTCTTGCAGATCAGGCTGCCCCAATACATTAGGTAGCCCAAACTACCGATGAGGGTATCAAGCGCGACATCAGCAAAGACGGATATAGCAGTCATAGGAACACCGACAATCAGGTGCACTGGGTTCGCCAGGAGGACAAGGGCGATTTTCCCCCAAAGATAGGGGAGCCAGATTCCAATCGCAACCGTGAACGAGATCAGAAGGGCGCTGAATACACCGTTCTGAAGAAGACCGAAGATTGGGCCCTGCATACCAATAAGCTCGAGGATTCCCTCTAGGTCATCACCATCCTCCACCGCATCGAAGTCGTTGCCATCGACGCCCGGATCCTGCACGAGTCCTTGGTTATCTTGTGCACCACCCTCAGCAAGACGTCTGTCGTTCTGGATCGGAACAAATGGTGCCTCCAACTCAGGGTCAACTACTACTCGTTCGTCATCGTCTTGAGCCTGGTCCTGGTCCTGGTCCTGGTCGCCAGTCCCAACATCTGCCCAGAACCAATCAAGCAGCCAAGCAACGAAGCCTTTGTGGTGATTTTCGACAGGCCGAGCGGCTCCAGTAAAACCTGGGCGGTTTCTTGATTGTTCGTGATCATTGGCGGGATCAGCCTGGTTATGAATCGTGGCACTAGTCTGATCACCCATCTGGGGCGCATCATTGCTTGAGGGTGTAGGGTCTTGGGGAGGCTCACGCTCGGTGGCGTGATAAGAACTGGATCGGAAGCCATCCAAGTCCGGGTGCCGTTCTAGTCTGTCGGTATTTGTATTGCCTTGAACCGCCTCTGCGAAGCTCCAAGGGCTGGTATTTGTTGATAGTGAGGCACGATCATCATCTAATTGTTCCGGGGCTGAAGCATCCTCAGGTTGAGTCATACCTGCATCGAAGTGAGTGCTGGAAGAGGCTTCAAGCGGCGGGTCCCGTCTCCGTTGGTCTTGGCGATCTTCATTGCGCTGAATCTTGCTCACGGCGTTGACAATCCAATCCAGGTCATTCTGGCGGCCTTCGTCGCGTACAATTCTCAAGACCTGTTCGGGATCGCCATGACCCCGGTCCCAAAGGTCTCTGAAGGTATCCACACCAGGCCAGGTTTGAGCGTATGGCTGCTCGGATGGGAAGTCCAGTTCCGCTTCACCGTCACTTTCACCGGTGTTTTGGAACGATCGCGAAGGTTCAAAGCCTTGTGACTCAGAAGGTTCGAAGCCACCACGATTCTCCGGGCCGAACGGCGATGACCTAGGGAACTGATCCAGGTCAACCGCGAGGCTTGCCGGTATGTTGAAGGCACGATGGAAGTCATCTTCAGCAGGTTCGTGATCTTGGGCGTCCAGCTCAGCATCCTGTGGTTGCAAAGCAGCATCTTCCGCCGGCTCCGCATTCTCTACCGGCTGGTTCTGAAGGTTATTCGCTATGAGCTGAACAGCTGCTTCGCGCTCTCCCTCGGCAATGTTCGCCATGGGCTGTTGCTGTACGACCCATTCTCGGATGAGAAAGATCAGGATGAATGAAATGACGACGAGTAGAGTGATAAGCTGGCCCTCCAATGTATCGATGATGATGTTGTTGATAGTGGGAGACGGTGTCAGGGTACTCAAAAATTTAACGTCGGACAACCATGAGGGACGTCTTGGATTGTATGTTGCGGCAGTCATATTGGATTTGGCCCCAATGGACCCAGTGACCGACATTGCGGGGGAGAACAGTACTGAGAAAGCCTTCTTGATGAGAGTAAAGAGCAACGGTTCACCTGAAGCAAAACCGAACATGGAAGATACTGGAGACTGCACTGACGAGACGTCGGCGGTGGTGGGTTGCGAAGTCGTCGATCTGGGCAATCCTGTAGCGGCTTGAATAATAGTGGTGGTAGTGCCATTCGCTACAACGAAATCTATGCCGGGCTGATGGTTATTGTCAGCACCAGTCCAGCGACCATCTGCGAGCCAGAAGAGGGCCCTCCAGATCGCTCTCATAGACCATGGCAGCCAGCCCAGCCAGACAAATGCCACTAGAATGAAACGGAGCCATGTGACGACAGTACGGAAGCTATGAATCATGATTTGTTTGAAGAACAACGGAGCTGGGAGGTTCTGTGGCATATTGGGATCGTATAATTTGGTAAAGCGAAACGGTGTCTTGCAGAGTTCGCAGTGCTTTTTCTGCGAATGGGATAGCCATTCTACCAAGCAAGCTTGGTGAACGAACTTGATGCTCCCACTACATTTGCAGGGGTAAAAGAGCGGCTCTTCCGGGGTCCCCTCTCCACGACATATCCGACAGGTGTCCGGTTCGTCAAATTCCTTCTCTTTTCCTTTGTGGTTCGTGTCGTAGGCTGGGTCGTTCATGAGATCCGGAAAAGGTGCTGAGCCCGCAAGATCACGGGAATTGTCGTTGGCAAACTCCATCTTTTCGGCCAGTTTCGATGCGACGACCTTTCGTCCTTCAGTATTCTCACTCAAGTATCATGTTCGTCGGGCATGGGAAACCGTCGAGGCGTATCCGGAATATGTTTGTAACAGAGGACTGGGTGGATAAACTCTTCCTGTCTGGCATAAATGGGAATATTCTTGTGCATCAGCGAAGGTTTTGGGGGGGCGCGACTCAGTTGTGCCTCCAGTGTTGAGGTGAAAGTGAAGTTTGGGTGGTTAGACGTTGGGATGATGTGATGCTGCGGTACATCAAGTTGTGGCAGGCAAGTTCCCGCAATGCGACTGACTCAGCCACAGCGCCACAGCGCCACAGCAGGCAGCCATCGCCATCAGTGTCTGCTGAGACTGAGGAGTATGGTTGTAGAGCGGGCACTAAAGCCAACAACAAGTCAGTGTGGCCGAGTGGTTAAGGCGTCAGACTCGAAATCTGATACATTCGTGTGCACAGGTTCGAATCCTGTCGCTGACGAAACATTTCCTTTTTGCTTTTGAGTTATTTCTCATACCACATTTCGTTATAGCTCGTGCCATGGTTTTCTGATCCTTGGTGATAGCTTTTTGTGTCAATTGGATTACTTAGGTGTCGCATCTGTGGTGCTACGCGTCTGTTCGGAAGTAAAGGGAGTGAGTTGTGTAGCTTGCCAATGCTTGGTCAGTGGGATCCAGATAGATCGAGTAATTTGAAGGGGGTGGAGTTCTGCAGTGTGCTCATTTCAAGCAGGAACATGATGTTATTCTGCTACATTTTATTACAGTATACACCGCTGCTGAGGTCTTGTTTCCATTGTGGCTATGACTATAATACTCCTATGCATAACTTACTCCGCACTACGAAGGACGGCCGGTTAAGAGGGAGGGTGGTTCTTCAGATACTGGACGATTGTGTGCTAGCTGCTGGGAATTCGATCGAGATGATTCTGGCCAGTGGTTCGAATGCTGCTATTTCTCTTGTTGCAACCATGTTCTATTATAAGTTCCCAAGACTTGCCCTGTCCCTCGCAGATCGAGGCTGTGCTGATATATTTTCGGGATGCGTCCCTCATACCAAACCATGGAACGAATATGTATTCACCTGTCACTCTGGTTAGACCAATACAACGTCACGAGTACCTGCAGTGTAGACTCTTGACCTGAGCCACAAGTCCATATTGTGAAAAAATTACTCCTCCCTCGACAGAAAGAACCCATAGACATGATCTGATTGAGGAGGTCCACAAAAAGCGCGGACCAAAAAAGATCTGACAACCGTCAGCGGTAGGATTCGAACCTACGCCCACGAATGGAATTGATATCTCCTTAGAAAGATGGGACCTACTAAGGTTCGAGTCAATCGCCTTAACCACTCGGCCACACTGACGTCAGTTGATATATCCTTTTCAGCGTCAAAATATACAATGGGATTTGCACTCTATTGACTAAAGAGGGCATAACCACAAAGGTGACATTTACCATACGAATACGCGAATCCTACATCTCCATGACCACGCGTTCCTTACATGCCCAGCCGCTATAGTTGATCTTGATCTTAGTCAATATGGCTGAAGCAGATATCTCTTTATTGGCACGACATGTGCTCCAGAGCCTGTATGTTGTAGAGAGAGAGAGAGCTCATGTGAACCTGATACGGTACCGTACCAATGGTCCAGGCCAAGAGCTGCCATTCGGGCCCGGCCAGTGCTGATCCCGAAGTTACGTCCTGTAAGAGTGCACAACTTCGGCGCCACACATAGAGCAATGACCTCACTGCGCGGAGGGATCTCTAAGCAAAACATCATTGCGCTCCTGTACTATTGCGGCCAATGGTTCGCTTAATCTCGTACTGCTACCGTTCTTTCAAAGTCCTACGAAACCTCGTTTTATTCGACTGTCGATCGTCATTCGTTTTTTTGTTTGTGTGCAGCACCTACGCCTCCTACGCAGCCGGAAAGATTACTCTGTGATACCCACTATCCGGCGTGCATAGGCCCTGTTGCCAAGACTCTCGACTCCATTGCGCGTGCGGATTTCTACAGGGTCTCTCGACTGCCGATTCCGAGAAGAGCTATCATCGGCCATTCGTCATACATTAACCAGGGGCGGAATTCCTATTTCCCCGAGGACTCTCATTACTCTCGCGTGATGATTTAAGCTTCTATGCTCCAACATCACTGCCCAGTAACTCGCTCAAACTGAACGCGCAATACGACACGATAAGAAATTTGCGAACCCAAGCACTCCTTGCAAATGGGAGACGAGACGATGGCCACCACGAAGAACGGCTTTGTGGTGGAGGGACATAGTCGTCCTGTTGCGACGGTCGACAACAGACCCAGGCAACGGAAAAGGAACACTATTAGGTGGACGATAGGGCTGGTGGTCCGGTGAGTCTCACTCTGTTGGTTGGACCTAGTTTATTGTCGCACATTCGCTGACCTGGCGGGATTTCCCGTTTTTCAACGCCAGACTCTGTATATGGTATGCGCTGTTAACGCCATTCTTTCGCTGTCCATCTCAGCTCTCCGACCTGGATGGGACCTCGCCCCGAGTTTGCAAACCGTACCTAATTGCTCGATCGCACCTCGAGCCTCATATAACCCCGTATTATAGTGCGTACGGTGCGCCCTACGTTGAGATGGCCCGTCCGTACGTGCATATCGTCAACGAAAAAGTCTATACACCCACGTCTCGCGTCGTTCGACGCGGCTATGAAACTTATGGTGTGCCCGCATTAAACAAGGCGCAATCGTATGGCCAGGATCAATGGGAGGCGCGGGTGGTCCCACATTTGAATGCGGTCAAGGACAAGACGAACACGCTGTACCTGTCGGAAGTCTACCCATATGTGCAGCGTGCCGAGGAACTCGTCTTGCCGCCGTATAGGAAGGCTAGTGGCGCGGTCCGATCTGTCTGCGTCGATTATCTTCTACCCTTTGGCGCCAAGTACCAGCCATATATCGGAAAGACATTCACCTCGGGGCAGGATATCCTTACTACCACGATTCTGCCCAATGCGCAGAACTCATGGTCTACTACTATTCAGTTTATCAAGGGAACTCTTTGGCCTAGGATCGCCAGTCTCTACTGGGAGAATGTAGAACCCCAACTCGTCAAAATTGGCGAAAGACTGGCCAGTTACCGCGAGGGAAAGGGGCCTCGGAATGTCGTGGATGAAGCCAATGCGTGAGTACCCATCCCTGAAGCGCGAGTTCACGGTCATTTACTCACAGACCAGCAGGAGTTTCCCGGATCAGTCGGTTCTTGCTTCTTCAGTCTCAGGCAGCACATCTCTGAGAACCACACAATACGAGACTGCTACCGCGGCATCCACAACGGTGGTATCCTCGCCGCAACCTACGCTTTCGGTCGAGGAACAGAAAGCCCAAAGACGCGAGAGAGTCGAGAGCGACCTACACGCTTGGCAAGAAAAGTTCGCCGTCGCTTCTAAGAATGGCCTTGAAAGCCTCGAGGAACTCTTGCAGGAGGTCGTCTCTGATTATCTTTCCAAAGAAAATGTGGCGTATGGCGAAGAATTGGTCACAGGGCTGGAGGCAGTTGTGGAGAACGAGATAATCGCACTCAAGCATCATATAAACACCCTGGCTGAATCTCTGCCCTACGAAGAACTCCCCAAAGCTGAAAAGGCTGCTCAAGAGGAGCTGTTGACGAACGTCAAAGAAGCCGCAATCTCCATCCGAGGCCGTGCTCACGCCCTCAGGGAATGGCGCAACGCGTTCCAGAATGAGCTCATGCACCGCGTTCATGTCGCAGTCAACTCTACCCTCGAGGTTCTCGATAACGTTCGTGATCTCGGGTTCCAGGAGGTGGGCATCCGCTGGGCGTCGATGGATGATGTTACCTACAAAGACTGGGCCAGATACCACACCCTCAAAGCAGAAATGGAGGACTGGAAAGATCAATTTATCGCCTATGGAATCAAACATGCTAAGGTCGAAAAAGCGGTTCTAGCCGCCGAGGAAACACTGTCACGAGGAATGGTTGTGGCTGAGAACGCGGCGAAGGAGCTTGCGAGGTTGAGGGAAGTCGGCAGATGGAAGATTTCGGCTCGCGAAGCGAGCGACAACTTTGATACGAGATCCGAGCCCCCACCTTCACTTCCAGAGCCTGCCATTCCCGAAGAAGACACTGCTGATGAGATCAGTCTGGGCGAGGTATCTCAGACAAGCCCGGAGACTTTGGAGAGCCCTGGTGTTTCCGCGGAATTCACCGCCGAGCAATTGGATAATCCGGCCGACGTCGCCGGCACTAGCAACCTCGATGCATCCGACCAGGCGGCATGGGGCATGGCTGCAGCAGTTCTCTCTTCCCAGAAAGCCAAGGAAGGTCACCTGGGCTCCGACGAGCAGGAGGCTATCGAGAAACTCATTTCGGGGCTGCTTGTCGGCAAAGATGTTGAGTTCGCCGAAGATATCATGAAACAACTCCGCGCCATCTACAAGACTCCGAGACCATCTGAGGCCTCATCCTCGGCATCATCCTCGGCATCGACCTTGGCAGCACCTTCGATATCAGTTAGCGTCATTGACGATGCTTTGACTACGCCAGCAGCCATTCCAGTCGACGAGACTACTACTCCCACTTCTGTGATGACCGAAGAAATTGCTTCCGAACCGACTGTTGCACATGCCTCACCCGACGTGCCAAACCCAGCGCATGAACAGCAAGAATCCCCCGAAGCCCCTGAGAACGTAGAAGCAGCTATGGAGAGTGCAGAGTCACAATATGTCAGCCTGACCTCCCGTGCAAGTGACTTCGAACCCATCGCAGTTGAGACTGGTGTGGATGCCTCGGATGAACAGACCGAAAGCATGGAAGATGACGTTGAGGCCGAGTTATAAAGGCCATGACCCGCACGATCTTTACTGTCGTTTGACAGTATTTGGTTCTCTGTTTCGTGCTTTCTCCTTTTTTTTTCTTGCTTTTCATCGTGCTAGATATCCTTATGTTTCTATCTTCTCTATTCCTGACCTTCACATCTTGTCGGATCGTGAGCTTGAATATTCCCCACATAGTTCCTACGATTGTACGTCACGACCAATATATCGATTCCTATGGTACAACCCCTCGCTATTTTCATAGGCCGCTTTTCCAAATCATCAAGACAGGCACTTGCACTGGGATAAACCATACCATAATCGACTTCCTTGTCTCACCCACTACCAGCATACTCGAATTGTAGGCCTGTGCACTTCGATGATCTGATTATACGTAAACAACTTTTCATCTATACAATAAAAGCGTACATGGGAAGTCTCATCGTAACCCGACCATTCCAGAGACCATGCTCTTACCGCACACAGTTTCTTAAATACACCACCAGTCCACCCCGGCCAAATGGTCCATGAATTAGAGGAAACCGCAACAACCAAAATCCCTCACACACAATCCACCATCTCAGCGATACTGCACCCTCTGCCCACCCCGCTTCTCCAACTTCTTCTGCCTCTTACTCTCCGGAGCCGCACCACCAGCGCTACCATCAGCAGCAGCACCACCACCCATCCCCGCCAACCCGCTCCGCATCCCCATAAACGTGGAGTAAGCCAACCAAACCGAGTACAGCGGGATCACCACCCACAGCCACCAGGCGCGGTCGCCGAACAGGCACACGGCCCCGATGCAGCCCCACGTCCAGTACAGCACGTCCCACATGTACTCCGTTAGCCCGGCGGCGCCCAGGTCCTCCCCCGGGGAGCGCAGCGAGCCGTCGGCCGGGTTGTGGCGCGGCCGGCCGAGTCGGTCCAGGTAGAATTCGATGAGGAGGGTCGGCACCGCGAGTAGGATGTAGGCTTTTAGGGAGCGCGGGCGGTTGAATGTCCAGTGCAGGACTAGGTAGAGGGCGTGTAGGCCGAGGCTGATCAGGTGGGTGCGCTGCAGGAGGGCCGTGTTGCGCGCCGCGAGGGTTTTGGCTGCTTTCTGTTTGGCGGGGGTGGTTGTTAATTTGGGGTTTGGATGTGGTGGGGAGGATATTGGGTAAAAGGAGGAGAAGGAGGAGGGGGGGTTACCTGAGCCATGTTTGTGGTGGTAGGAGGTGGTGGGTGGTAAGTTGGAGGTGGGAGGTGATCTGGTCTTATCGAGTGTGTCGGATGATGCGCCTGAGGTCGCGTGGTGGGGAGGCGGCAGGGCGGGCGGTGGATGCGGATGCTTCAATGGATATTCGAGTTTTGAGATTTCTGTTTTTGCTTTTGTGATATGGGATAACAGAACGATAGATAGGCCTTCACACGTAAATAGAATCTCAGCAGCAATGCGGCATGTTCACCGAGGGGTCACTTCTTGCGGACGGAACTGCAATCGGCGGGAGTTACGGAGTAGTTCACTGCGAAGACGGAAGAGGGAATGGCAGAATGGCGTTGCCCACCACAACCGGACAAGCGCCCGCGCCTCTCTCCACCAGCCACGCTCTGAATTGCTTGCTTTCCCCCCCCAAAGCCTCCCAAAACATCGCATGGCCGAAAAGAGAGCGTCGTGACGACACGGTCCCTACCTTAACCTCACCGCACCGAAACTCCCGCCAGCTTGGGGCTAGTTCCAGGCACTGTTCATGCTCCACCCTTCTGTCATCGATCAATTTGTCTCCCCTTCGAAGCGATATGCAATTTGATCTCCTCCTAGCATCCCTCTAGACTCGCCCCTCCCTCTTCCAAACGTCGTCACGAGTCTGTCCCTCTTGTGAGACGTCATCCACTTCGCTTCATTCGGATCTCACTCTCACATCCCCCTCGACTCTCGATAATCGCTGGCAAAAGGGAAGGAGGAGAATTCCGCTCCAGGGACTAGGCAGGGACTGGCCCTGCGACACGCTTTGCGCCTCTCGGTCCGCGATTACGGTGGCTGTTGACAAGCATTTCATCCATGCAGTGAGAACCGGCACCGCGACCTCGTTACCTCGCCTTTGTTCTCGCCGCGCCTTTCCCACGACTCTAGTGTTACGAAAATACCACTTGCTTAACTGCTCACCTAATGACTTATCGGTATTGAGAAGGAGTTTATTCTTTTTTTCTGGTTTCGACCTCCCTTGCACAGACACTACCTCTTATCCTTCCAATCCTCGACTCCTTGAATGAAATCGCAAAGCAACCATGTCGCCATCCACCGCTCACATATCGAGCCAACTGCGGCAGCTGATTTATTATCACCTCGATAACAATTTGGTCCGTAACGCGCTTTTCCTCGCCGGCCGCTTGCACGCCTACGAGCCTCGCGCATCGGAAGCATCGTACCTGCTCGCCTTGTGCCATCTCCAAAATGGCCAGGTAAAAGCAGCATATGACTATAGCAAGAACTTTGGATCACGCGGCACGCATCTTGGTTGCGCATATGTATTCGCGCAAGCTTGTCTGGACCTGGGGAAATACCTTGACGGCATCACGGCGCTGGAACGGAGTAAAAGCCTTTGGGCTTCCAAAAACCATTGGAGTGAGTCTGCTTGAATTTTCCGGCCGCGTGATGTGATGACAGTCGCGAAACCCCTTTCTTGTCTTGTAATGCGGCTGGTGCTAACCTCTGTTTCCTTGTTTACTTCTAGACAAGCACAGCGAGACGCGCAGACAACATCTCCCGGATGCGGCAGCAGTATTATGCTTACTGGGTAAGCTGTGGCATGCCCACAATCAGCACAATAAGGCGGTAGAATGCTATGTTGAGTCGCTCAAGTTGAATCCGTTCATGTGGGACGCGTTTCTGGGTCTCTGCGAGACTGGTGAGTTGCTTGCAGTTTAACACCGATGGCGGAATTTTTGCTGATTGATGACTTCGAAGGTGTCAATATTCGAGTTCCGAACATTTTCAAAATGAACCCCGAGTTCCATGCTCTAGTATCATCTTCCTCGCAAGAGGACCTGGACATCCCCTCCGAGAAGACGACACACAATGGTGGCCCGTTGCAACCGCAGGCTAAAGCGAATTCGAGCATGGATCCATTCACGTCGCTGACATCTCGAAGCGACACGGCGGCCTCGCACGGCAGTTCGGCTCTATGGGAAAAGCTGAATGGTAGCACAGTCAGCGTGGCGTCAACAGGGACAGGCACGGCCCCAGCAGTTCGGGAAGGCACCGAGACACCCGGAGGTCAAAGCAGCGAATCCGATGAGATTCGTGGCCTCAACCGGACAGGTAGCGGCGAAGGTACGTGGGAGCCGCCCTTAGCACCTGCTCGGAAGAACAAGACGATCCAAGCCATCGGAGTCGACCATACCATGGATTCACCGCCAAAGATAAAACCAACGGGGATCAGACCACGAACGAGGACCCGCGTCGAGACGGAAGAGCAAAACACGTTACATCCGGAGAAAGACGCCATCAATGGTTCTCGGGTGGGAGATCGCAAACGAACTGTCTCAGGCCAAGTGGCTCATCCCTCAGCGCTACCGCCTTCAGAGCCAGGAGCGCCGCAACGGCGGAGCGTTCGACTCTTCAATCAGATCAAACCGACCACTAGCAAGTTGTCCAATACGACACTCGGAGCCAAGGATGGCAGGGAGCTCAAGAAGGTCAAGGCCACTAGTACGAAGAGCCGCACTGCAACAGGCGCGAGTCTAAATCGTGTTGTGAGCGGCTCCCGGAAACAGTTGAACGAAATTCATGATGGTGAAAGTAGGGAACATCGACCAGGCATCTCGGCGCCTAATGGGGTACACCATCCTCCCGCCAAGGGGACGTTGCTGGAGCGGTCAAAGGCGATGGAGGCACTGAACTGGCTGCTCGAGCTCTTTTCGAAGCTGGCCTCTGGCTACTTCGCCCTTTGCCGATACAAGTGTCCCGAAGCTATTCAGATCTACACAGCCCTCTCCCAAGGCCAGCGGGAGACACCCTGGGTGCTTTCGCAGATTGGGAGGGCCTATTACGAGCAAGCCATGTATTCCGAAGCGGAGAAGTACTTCATTCGGGTCAAGACCATGGCTCCTTCAAGATTAGAGGATATGGAGATATATTCGACGGTCTTGTGGCACCTAAAGAGCGACGTGGAACTGGCATATCTGGCCCATGAGCTGATGGAGATTGATCGCCTCTCCCCGCAGGCCTGGTGTGCTGTGGGCAACTCCTTCTCTCATCAACGGGACCACGATCAAGCTTTGAAGTGCTTCAAGCGTGCGACGCAATTGGATCCTCATTTTGCCTACGGGTTCACTCTACAGGGACACGAATACGTGGCGAATGAGGAATACGACAAAGCTCTGGATGCGTACCGACATGGAATCAGCGCCGACAGTCGGCATTACAATGCCTGGTACGGATTGGGCACTGTCTACGACAAGATGGGCAAGCTTGAATTTGCCGAACAACACTTCCGCAGCGCGGCCACGATCAACCCGACCAACGCTGTGCTTATATGCTGTATTGGTCTGGTCCTGGAGAAAATGAACAATCCCAAGGCGGCTCTCATTCAGTACGGCCGTGCTTGCTCTCTCGCCCCCCACTCGGTTCTTGCTCGCTTCCGCAAGGCTCGCGTGTTGATGAAGCTCCAGGATCTTAAATTAGCGCTCGCCGAGTTGAAGATCCTCAAAGACATGGCTCCCGACGAAGCCAATGTCCACTATCTTCTTGGCAAACTCTACAAGATGTTACACGAAAAAGCCAATGCAATCAAACATTTCACCACCGCCTTGAATTTGGATCCCAAGGTAAGTTACCCCTTGGCTCATGTTGGTCCAAAGCAATGCAATACTAATCATGTACACTAGGCGGCACAGTATATCAAGGACGCTATGGAATCCTTGGATGACGACGATGAAGACGACGAGGATATTGCATGATTGTACCATTGCCATTGCCCCCGCGGCTTCCTGAATGATTCCTCCGATACTCTCATTCCCATTATTGTACCTTGTTAGTCTTGTCCTTCAGCCTGCGGTTGTTTTTTCCCGAACCCAATTTGTGGCGTGGGACTATCATTGGGCGAGGATCGGCATTTGTGTTTGTTTTTTTTGTTTTTTTTCTTTTTCTTTCCTGGATCAGATTCGTGCAAGCATCAGCATTATAAGGGCGTTTGCCGGTGGGTTGGTTAGAGGGCATCTTCCTGCATTGGGCTCTCGACGGGTGTTGAGGCTCCTGGATATTGTATCTTAGCGTAGGGGAGGATGGATGGAGGGATGGAGGTTGGGTTGACTGCGAAACCAGAGATAAGGACGCCAGAACGACAGGGTCCATGCACATAATGGAGTGATATTCTTATGGTGCATTATGCAGTCTATTTTTACTAGCATAGCACTAGCATAGCAATGAGAATCAGTGCTGAACATGTGGGAATCTAAACAGAGGGTGGAGTATATACTCCGTAGTATAGTATAACTAGTTCGTGGTTAATTTGAGCCTCGGCTTCTCCAGGCGGGGAAAAAGCAGGGTCAAGGCGGTGAGAGGCGGCGGAGGAAATGGCCTCAAAGTCAAAAAACCGGTCGGGATGAATTGAATCGATGAATCGATTGCTGAATCGTTCGCCTCCCCTGGTCAATTCCCCACATTGGCATTTGGTCCCTGTTCCTGGATTAACTCGATTCTTCATCTTTTTAAACTCATTCGCATTGTCGTCTCTGACATCTGTCACCCATTGCCTCCACTGATACTGCTACCCTCCCCCCTCGGGTGATGTTGTAGTTCTCTCTCTCTCTCTCTCTCCGAAACCACTCGCCTGACCTCATCATCCAACCACCCCAGCAGTTCCTTCCCCCCCCCAGCGGTTTGTTTCGGTTCGTTGAATCTTCCCCCCCCTCCCCACCTCCTCTCTTTCTAGGAGTGAGAAAGATGTGCCTCTCTCTCTCTCTCTCTTTTCTCCTCTGCAGGCTCTTATCTTTCCCTCCCATAATTTTTAAGCCCTAGGACCTTTATCTGACTCAAATTCTCCTAATGCAGACCCATAGTCTTAATTCCGACCAGCCCTTTTCCTTGCCGCGTCTCGTCATGTCCTTCTTCTCCTACGTTGCCTCGGGCATCAGCTCGTTCGTCGTTGTCACGCTCTCCTTATTCGCTCTCGGCCAGAAAGTTCCCCGCGCCGCTTTCGTGGCTCGCTGTCTGGCAGCCTACGGCTCGCTCCTCCTGTGTGCCACCTATGGCGTAGTGGCCTCGATTGTCCTGCGCCTGGCTGGCTACGGCCGGGTTTCGCAATGGGCCACGGCGCGCAGCTTCAAATGGGTGATGCGGTATACGACCGGTGTGCAGTTCGATATTGTGGAGGGTGTTGAGCACCTGTCGACTCGCCCGGCGGTGTTCATCTCCAACCACCAGTCCGAGCTGGACGTGCTCATGCTGGGCGCCATCTTCCCTCCCTACTGCAGTGTCACGGCCAAGAAGTCGCTCAAATATGTGCCCTTCCTCGGCTGGTTCATGGCCCTGTCCCGGACGGTCTTCATTGACCGTGCCAACCGCGAAACGGCCGTCAAGGCGTTTGACAGCGCCGCCGCGGAGATGCGTCAGCACCGCCAGAGCGTCTTCATCTTCCCCGAGGGCACCCGAAGCTACTCCGATAACCCGGAGTTGCTGCCTTTCAAGAAGGGTGCTTTCCACCTGGCTGTCAAGGCTGGTGTGCCAATTGTCCCCGTCGTCACGGAGCACTACTCCCACGTCCTGTCTCCCCGCAATATGCGATTCAATGCGGGGACTATCAAGATCAAGGGTGCGTTTGCTGGGTTCTATGTCTCTCTCTTGACGATGGATTGGTGACTAACATAAGTATAGTTCTGCCGCCGATCAGCACCGAGGGTCTGACCGCCGCCGACGTCGACAGTCTCACCAAGTCTACGCAAGCGTCGATGCTCAAGTCTCTCCTCGAACTGTCGGAGAAGGACAAGACGGAGATCGGCTCTGCTGTCGCCAATGGCACCTCCACTGCTGTCGAGATCTAGATCTCTTGTCATGACGATATCATGATCGACTCATTCACGACCGAGAAGCGCCCTGCATTCGAACATTTGTAAACTGTGCTGGTATCCTATGTCCGCGCCTTCTCCATTATTATTCATCCCTTTTACGATTCCACGTCCTAAACCGATCATACCATGCAGCCACTCGCCGTACTTAATCCGACGCCTTGAGATCGGGTGATTCCTACGGCTAGAGATTTCCTTTGGCCTGACACCCCGTGTACTCTAGCCATCTCCCGCGTCGATAATATCTTGTTCTTTCCCGCCGCCAGCCTGCTCTCTTTCATCGGAGCAATGCCGCAGTCGCTTTTCTGGTTAGGCCTTGCAGGAGCCAAATTTGGGAGGAAAAGGGGGAAGAAGACTGGAGGATTGGCTGGCGGAGACAGAGGACGAGGATACTGCTCGCCCAAGGAGGGTAGAAGATCCCTAGATACCGAGTGGTATTCAAGAAGCTTTGTATCCATAGACTGAGACCATTTCCTTTCTAGAGTGTATATACAATCACGATTGCTACTTGGGATTCGGGGTGTCTGGTTTGTAGATTGTAGTGTGACCATTGCGCTCAGCTTTGCTCTGGGGTGGTTGAAAGAAGCCAGCCTTCACTCCACTCAGCTCCCACCATAAGGTCAAAATCGTGGACATCCGCAACTACTCCAAGAGACACCGACATCTCCCTTCAGCACACGGCCTGACATCCCGTTCGATATCAATCTCCCGCAACGCCTCCCAGGCATCTTGCTGCCCAGCTTCCGCACCGTGACTGCGCGCGCCAATCCCCGCCCCCCTCGCCGCGGTAGCTATCAAATAATCCTTCTCAAACGCCACAATCTCCACCCGCACATCCTCCACCGGCTTCTTGTGTAACGTCGTCCGCACCCCGGTATACGGCACCCCCACTTTTGTTTCCGGACGTACCGGCTCCGGCGCGACGACGGCCCCGAACTCCAACTCCCGTAGCCAGGGCGCCAGTAGCGCCTCCCCGGTCATCTTGATGTAGGCCTCCTTCAGGGCCCAGTACGCGTAGAAGATGCGGTAGCCGTACTCAAGCCCTGCTTCACCTGCAGCGGATTCCTGGGCGGCCTTGGTATTGTGGGCCGTGCCGTTTGACTGCGGAGGGCGGAGCGTCTTAATCAGCCGGATCTCCTCGGGCGAGAACACCTCGGTGAAGATGTCGACGTAGTTGCTGAAGGTGTCGCGGGGGTTGGTATTGTCTTTGTTTTTCCCGGTGGAAAGGGACGGCTGCCGCTCGTTCGTGCAGGTGATGTCGATCCCGACCTGCGGGACCTCGCCCTCGCCCTCGCCCTCGCCCTCGGCGGGTTCCGGGCAGATGGTCCCCGCCAGCGCGACGAGGGAGGCCTGGTGGCTGACGTTGAATTCGATGGTCGGGATTTTGCGGGAGGTGGTGAGGAGGGCGGCACTGGGGATGAAGCACGGGCGGCGGTGCGGGGCCGGCGTGCGCGACAGGGTGATCCGGTCCCAGGGGATGCGGCAGCTGCGGTGGATGAAGAGATACTTGAGGAGGTTGGAGGCTAGCGACATGTGCTTGTCTTTGAGGTGGTGGAAGCGGCGGATGGAGGCTTGGTCTTCCGGTTGCAGGGTGGTGATTAGTGGGAGGTTGGGGGTGGTTGGGTTGGCGGTTGTGTTCGTTGCGGTTAGTGGGCGGGTGTCGATGTACCATCTTGTCAGGATTGGGGGGTTTGGGTTCGGGTTCGGGTTCGGGGTTGTGCTTGGGTTGGTCATTGTGAATTGGGAGGTGGTGGTTGAGGGTTGAGGGTTGGAGGTTGCGTGTGGTGGTGGTTGTATAGATATAGGCTGAGGCTGTCGGAGCGGGGTGGATTCCAGGAGTAAACAGAGTTGCGATGGAGTTGGTCGGACGGATTGTCCCGCGCGCGAAGGAGCCGCTAAAGGTGCTGGATGTCTTCGGAGAAGGGCCTGAGTTGCTGAGCTCTATTCAAAGCTTGCCAGGGTTAAGAAACCTGGATAATACGAAAAAAGGATCGTGTCAGCTCAGCTCAATTCATGGATGGATTCAATCCTCACCTGCCTGATTGGGTATATCTTCCTGCGGGGAGGATCACGTGGTGATAAGCACGGTCCGAGGGATGATCCGATCCCAACGGGCGGAAGACATGGGGTTTCCCGCGGCGATCGGTCGATTGATTGAGTCAAAGTGGCGCTCGACTTTCTACTACCACCAATTCTACAACACAATCCAACAATGACCAACATCACCGTCGGAGTCCTTGCTTTGCAAGGCGCATTCTACGAACATGTGCAATTACTGAAACAGGCTGCGACCACTGCTTCGGCCACCGACAACGTTTCCAAGGCTCAATGGGAGTTCGTCGAAGTCCGCACCCCGCAGGAATTGGCCCGGTGCGATGCGCTCGTTCTGCCCGGGGGCGAAAGCACCACAATGTCCCTCGTCGCGGCACGGTCCAATCTTTTGGAGCCCCTGAGGGACTTCGTCAAGTACGTTACTAGACCTGACTCATTTTGACCCTCGACTAATATTTGCCTCCCTTTCGCCACGATAGAGTCTACCGCAAGCCAACTTGGGGAACCTGCGCCGGCCTGATCTTACTCGCTGAGTCGGCGAACCGAACGAAGAAAGGCGGCCAGGAATTGATCGGAGGACTGGATGTGCGTGTGAATAGAAACCACTTTGGCCGCCAAACAGAAAGCTTCCAGGCGCCACTGGATTTGCCCTTCTTGGGGCCCGATGAGCCTGCGTTCCCAGCCGTCTTCATTCGCGCCCCGGTTGTTGAGAAGCTTCTCCCACACCACGAGGGTATCCAAGTGGGTGAGGCTAAGCTAGATGACACCGTCGTGGCACCTTCTCGGCATGCGGACAGCGAGGCAGCCCTGGCCGCCATGGAGGACCATGTGCAGGTGCTGGCCACTCTGCCTGGGACAGCCGCCAAGATAGCCTGCGAGTCCGACCCAGAGAAGGAGACGGGTGACATCATTGCTGTCAAGCAAGGCAATGTCTTCGGGACCAGTTTCCACCCCGAGTTGACGGCGGATGCCAGAATCCACCTGTGGTGGTTGCGCCAGGTCGAAGAGTCGGTCCGGAAGAGAAACGAAAAGCACTGAGAGGATGCTTTGCATGAATGAAAATGCCATTGAGCATCGTTCTTGCCGCCGCATGGGGTATTGGGTACGAAAACTTCTTTGGACATGCCTTTCTTTACATCAAGCGATAGCGATAGAAAATAGATTGTACATAAACGCCGTATTTGCGCCAACCGGATGGAACCACTGTTGCTTTCTACCTACCTTTGCCGTACTCTTCTTCCTCGCGCCGTCGTTGGTCGTCTGCGTATGCCCGACCATAGCCACCGCGACCGGGGTCGTACTCTTCGCGGTATTCATCGCGAACCTGACCACCGGACTTTCCGCGACTGCCCAGATGTCAGTGCCATGCAAGAGGTTTTGATGATTGAACCTATGATCATACCCGTATTGTCGGCCCTCCTCGAAACCGGGATCCAAATCCGTGCGGATGATTCTCTCATCGAGCTTGGTGCCTCCAATATACTTCAAGCAGTCCAAAGCATCCTGGTGCGTGTAGTATTCGACGAAACAGAATCCGCAAGGGGTCTTGGTGAACCGATCGAGCCCCATAACAAGACGTTTGATCTCTCCGCACCTAAAACTCGGTCAATGTCTGGTACGTGGTCGGCAGGGAGAGTGCGAGGCTGACTTTGCGAAAAGCTCATGGATCTGTTCTTCCGTTGTGTAGAAGGAACTGTAGCAGTCAGCACTGATTAATGGCGGGTCTGTCGAGGTATTCCAGCTTTGAAGCACGTACAGGTTGCCGACATAAAGGGTCGTGGCATTCTTCAGATTGTCGGTGGGCTCTTCCTGCTTCTCGGATTCGTCGTGACTGTACTTGCGTCTCTTGTTCTATACAGGTTGCGAATGGGTTAACGATCGTGTCGTGTCCATTGCCTTGAACTGTTAATGGTTAGGGTGAAGCTATACCTTTCCCACATAGTAGGCACTGGGACGGTCCAGTCTCTCCACGGTGTGGTGCGATAACGTGCTCATTGTGTCGGAATGCGCCCACTGGAATACCCAAGAAAGTCCCGGTTGCAGTAAGAGAGAGTGGGAGATAAAATAGCACGTGGATGAGGGAAAAGGAAGACGGAGAAGGGGAAGTTTGGGGACGAGAAGCCGAGCTTCAACTGATGGAATGGGAAACTCTTGGCGCGCGTCTGCGGTGGATTTTTGCCCGGCCGCTGCTGGAGCTGGTAAGTTAACTTACAGTGTTGCTGCTCCTCCCGCCCTACGCTATTGTCCCGCAACTTGGAATCTTCCCCTTCCCCATCTTTTTGTCACTTCCTCTCTCTTCTCTCACTATCACTTCTCCTGGCGGCATGGGTCTATAATTTACATCTTAATCGTGTGATCGAAACATCTTCAGACCATGCCCAAAGTCATCAGCTACACTCCGCCCTGGCTCTCGCGCCCTTCGCCTGGTGCGTCGATTTTCTCAAGCGCAGGGACCAAACACCCCGAAAACCTCCAGCCAGCTCAAGATCAGCAGTATGCGGGGCCCAAGCGCATTCAGGCCAAGAGAGGGAATGAACTTTTCACCGTGGTGAATAACCAGATCCGCTGGTCCGATCTCACCAGGGTCAAGGACGAATGGCAGCATCAAAGACGCCTGAAGAATGGAAGTTCGGAAACACGACCTGAGCATGAGAAGAGTGTGCATTACAAGGTAATACGGCCCAACGAGTGCAAAGTGGGCAATAGCTGATAGCGCGCAGGTCTTGTTAACCCCGGTTCACGAAAATATCCGTCAACTTGTTCCGTCTCCCAACGGCGCGTTCTTAGCTATCGTAGCCGACCACACCGTGTTCATCGCTGTCCTTCCAGACCCGTCGCATTTGGCTGGCACCGACACCCTTCCAATCCGCGTCAAGACCTACCAGCTCGGACCGACCACGCACGTTATCCCCGAGTCTCCTGTTGTTTCCGCACTATGGCATCCATTGGGGGTACACAGCAACCTGGCGGGCTGTCTAGTAACAATCACCGCAGATGCTGCCGTCCGGGTGTGGGAGATCGATCGCAATAATCATTGGTCTTTTGATCGACCGACGCTGGCGGTGGACCTGCGGAAGTTGATTGATGGAACGTCATGCGATGAGGATTTCGCGCCCTTGGGGTTCGGAAGAAACAAGGGTTTCTCGGCGGACTACATCGATATGGAAGTAGCCTCTGCTGCCTTTGGTGGCATCGGCGTTGCCAAGGAAGATGCCTGGGCTCCCATGACCCTTTGGGTTGCGATGCGGCCGGGCGATCTGTACGCTTTGTGTCCTTTGCTCCCCACCAAGTGGAGAGCGCCTCTGACGACTGTCCCGGCACTCACTACAGCTATTCTTCCAAAGCTCGCGAGTTTGCAGGAGGATCCTGCGGAGTTCGAAGATGAACTTGCGGCTTGCCGTCAACAGTATGACTGGCTCACCGAGATTGACACCCAGGAGCCGCTGCTCACTGATGTTGAGTCCGACTACGAAGTCCGTACACGCCCTGCAACCCCCAGCGCTATCCCGAGACTGCAAGGTCCCTTCCGTCTGGACACCGGTGATGAGATTGACGACCTTGACCTATGCGATATCCTTGTAGTCGCTGCCAGGGCTGACATCGACGCTCTCATGACGGGTGAGGAGGTTGACCTGGCGCTGGAAGACGACGGGGAGGACAAATTGTCGGCTACCGTGATTTGCTTGTCGAGTGGAAGTGGCAGGATCTATGTCTGCCTGGAGCTTGATGGCGTTGAAGGGCAGTGGCTCCCCAAGAGCCGGCAAAATGTTTTCCGCACACCAGTATCCGACCCATGCGACCTACTCTTGGTGGAATCGTTGGATACCGTGAAGGCACAGGCGGACCACTGGCCGACATTCACCAAGGACGTCTATTCCCGCTACAACTTCTTTGTCACTACGGCGACCAATGTGACTTTCTTTTCCCTTGGCTCCTGGGTGCAAAGATTGGAAGCCGAACTGCAGTCGGAAGACACCAGTGGAAGTGCGTTCCGCCTGCAAGTTCTGTGTGAAGGGACCGCGTCTCTGCGAGAGCAGCTCATTGAAGTGGACGATAACGTTGGGGAGGACAAGGACCATTCCGCCCACCTGCCAGCGTCTTTGGTATACTACGACTACGACCTGGGGTATCTGCTTCTGACGTCCCGCGGCTCTGTTCCTTATGCCGCGATCCTGGACGCGCCGGAGGTCTCCTTACCTTCGATTGGCGAGTTGCAGATCTTCGACTCGCAAGATGGACCTCGGTCGCCTGTACTCCCGCCTCGCCGCCCTCCCTACCAAGTGCCACCCATCTTCTATTCGGAATCACCCCTGGGTTCCTTTGTGGAGAAACATGTTCCGCATCGCCAGCGCCAAGCCCTCAAGGAGCAAGTTCGCTTGTCGCCTGCGACCCTTGATCTAGTTGCTGCCGCCCATCGGATTCTGTCCGCGCATACGAACGCGCTGGAGAGAGCTGCTTCGGATCTGTTCCGCCGATGCGAACGTCTGCAGGGGGAGATGCGAGACCAACTGAAGCAATTGGCTGATGTTGCGGATAGGGTGCGGGGTGTTTCCAGTGAGCTTGGTGAGGACGGCAAGCGGATTGAAGGATCGCGGACCGGAGAGGCCCTTGATAAGAGACTTCAGGCCGCGAAGGACAGACAGACCGAGCTTGTGCAGCGATATGAGGCTCTTCGGAATAAGCTCATGAAATCTGGTGGAAGACCTTTGAGCGACAAAGAAAAGGCATGGTTCCAGGAGGTGAAGAGACTCAGTGATTCATTCGGCGAAGCGACAGAGGACTCGCAACCGGGCCAGGAAAGTCGTCAAGCCATTGCTCAGCGCCTCGAAACGGTAAGTGCTTCCTCCAAATATCAGGTCTACCCCGAGCTAACTAAATCCTTTGCAGGCCAAGGAACTTGCACGCGATATGCTTGCCGAAGCGAAGACGGTTGCTGCTAGACTTCCCGCTGTCGACGCCAGCAGCCCAGCTTCAGCGCAACCGACGATCCCATACCGACTTCAACGGACGAAAGTTGGGGAAGCGATGAGAATGGTGGAACGAGAGTGAGTTTCTAACTAGGGTTCTAAGACATGACATACTGATACAGTTACAGGTCTGCGATCATCGACTCGATCACGTCCCGGTTGGAACGACTCAACACCACTATCTGATTGCGGTTGTTAGATGAAAACTTGGAGACTCAATCCTTGCTCTATACCTACTTCTTGATACTCGAGGATTTGCGAATTCACACAAAGACATTCAATTTGTTTATTATATCATGAAACGGGGGCATTTCGCACCCCGCACAAACGTAGCAGAACCCAGACCTCCCCTGACCCAAAGTTGCCGAGCTTAGTGCGTCGACTTCACCTACACTAGCACAAGACGCGCTGCTCCGACCTCAACGACCCAAGCAACGAACATCCCAGAACATCCAGCAAAGCCATCTCAGCAACCGCCCCATTCGACGAAGCCAGATTTCCCCCCCCCACATGGAAGGCACCGTAAGACCTGTTATCACTACTTAGTCAACATGATCATCCTCAAATCCATCCGCCGAAGGCGGCGGCGGCGGGCCATTTCCACTGCTGCCATGCTGCCCACCTCCCCGCCGACAACCCCTCGACTTCACCCAGTCCGCATAGTCATACATGATCAGCCGGTTCCGCTCCCACACCCCGGAGGTGTAGGGCATGGTGCCCGGCCCCGTCCTGTTCAGGTTCTCGTACCCATCGGCATCGGCATCGGCATCGACATCGGCATCGGACTCCGACACCGCCCCGTCCGAGTAGACCTCTACGGGCTCCTCCTCGAGTCGCGCGCACTTGGCGCAGGGCTCGTCGATGCTGCCGGTGTGTTCTACGACTAACCCTGGGCATTTTTCGGTGTCGGTGTCGGGGTTAGTGGCTTCTGTGCACCGGTGCGTGGACTCGTCGAGGACGCAGCCGCATCTGTAGGTGCGGATTGTGGAGGTGCACATTTTGCCTCTTTTGCTTCTGACGGGATTCGGGTTGGGGGCTTGGTTGGGTGTGTGTGTGTGTGGTGGTTAGTGGGGAGAGGGGGGGTTGAGGTGAGGTGTGACTATTTGGGTGGGTTGAGGTTCTGCTGGTGTGTTGTGGTGGTTGGGGTGGGATTTATATCGTTTATGAGGGGGTATGAGGGTTGGGGTGGTAGGGGGGGATAGACAATGGGGTTTGTTCCGGGGTCTTTGTTGAAGAGGTGTCAGTGCCATTTGAGGTGAGGTTGGAGGTGGTGGTCTTTGTTCGAGGGTCGTGAATGGGTTGAGGCTTGGGGTTGGTGATGGGGGTCGAACTATGAGATTGTCGAGATTCTCCGGTTGTTTTGGAACAGGTAGTTAGGGTTGGTGGTTCACGTGAGGGGTTTGGAGGTCGGGGGTTCGGGGGTGGGAGATGGTGGTGGTGATTTGACCTAGATTTTTACATATAGGCAGGAGAGGATATTGATATTAAGTATTATTATGGGAGTTTAAGGTTGTTTTGGTTATTGTTTGAGGTTGAAGTTGGTGGATGGTGGATGGTGTTGTGTTTGGGTTGTGTTCGGCCACTGTATGTTCACGTGCTCTTTCCATGCTCTTTCCCTTGTAAGTTGTCATGAACTCAACCACTATCACTTCTTTCTGTTCGATCTTCTTAGATAACATCCCAGCTAGTATTTCGAATACCTCATCTCACCTCTTTTCCTCGCCTTGTTCTCAATGATCTCAGCCCACCAGCCCTGAATCCCTTAACGCCCACAATTCAAATCATATCCCCCAAACCCCCGCTCCTCCCAAACAACCTCCTCCTCCCCCTCCTCCACCGCCCCCCTCACAGCCTCATACACCTCCCCAATAACGACCTCGAACGCCGGCATCCGCAGCAACGGAATCCGACTCTCCCACCGCATCATCTCCCGCAGAAACACCGTCCCCCACCACCACTCCAGCTGCCGGCAGTCGAGTTCCCGCATCTCGCGCGCTTTCTCAGTGTCCTTGTCCCCGTCCCTGCCACCTTCCCCCTGCCCAGCTTCCCCCCCTTGATTTCTGCCTGTACCGCTACCGCTCCTGAGAAGCACGATCGACCGCTCCACCGCCCCCACCGCCTCCCGATACCGCCGATAGTACGTCGTCAGGTACATGTCCAGCAGCGCCGTGTACCGCGCCGCGTACGCCGCAAACGCCGCCCGGTCGACGTGGAACCGCACCGCGGACCGCGGGATCTTGGCCGACGGCGCCAGCGTCGGGTTGCCCGGGATGTAGTCGCGGCGCCAGTTGAAGAGGCGGTCGATGGATTGGGCGTGCGTTATTAGGAGAACGGGGTTGTGTCCTGATTTTGGTTGCGGGTTGGGATCGGGGTCGGAGTCTGGGTTGGGGTCTGGTGTTGTTGCTGCTGCGGATGCTGTAGCTGGGGTTGGTTCCGCTGCTGGTGTTGTGGGGTTGGTGGAGGGATCGGTGCTGGAGCTGGTAAAAGCACCAGGGCACAGGGATTTGTAGCGAGCAGCGAAGCAGAGTTCCACATGGCGTTGGACGCGTAGGCTGCTGTAGGCGAGTAGGTAGCAGCGGTCGATGAGTTCGCGGGTGGTCGGCGGCAGGATGGTCAACACCCAGGGCGGGGGGTGCAGGGCCTGGTGGTCCCAGTTTATGCAGCCGGGCGGTGGGTTCAGCGTGCAGGGGGAGAGATAGGACATTTTGGTATGGGTTGTGTTGCTTGGTTCTGTGGGTGATGATTGGGTTGATGTTGACGGTTGGTTGGTTTCTGGATGAGGTGAGTGAGGTGGGTTGAAATGGTTGCGTGGAGATGGTTTATGGTGAGAGTGAGGATAGATGGAGGGGGATGAGATGGAGGAAGATGGAGACAGAGAGGTGGAGAGGAAGAGAGAGTTTAGTCTCTGGAAATGTGTTCAGCTTCATGGCCCGTTCGGTTCAAGTGAATTATTCACAAGTGTGGTGTGTTACTGGAAGTAATGGGAGAGCAGAAACCCTTGCCATAGGCAGCACAAGCCCTGTTTTTCTCAAACCGTATTTCCTCCATGGCCTCTATCAACTTCACCCGGATGTTGTGTTACTGATTAGAATCAACACTTAATGCAATCGTCACTATGATTCTGAAGCGGCATCTGATGTTATAAGCGAGGTATATATTCTTCCAACTATAAGAGCTAAACCCCAAGCCTTTACTGGACACTAGACACATCGTTAGTACACACCAACTACACAGCAACACACGAAGCATACCGTTCGATCAGATGAACGCCAGACGCGGTCTCAACAATACCGCTGACCTGTCCCGGCTGCAGCGCGAAGGCAGCGTCTTCGAACTCCTTCTGCATCTCCCCGCGTCCAAAGAATCCCCTAGAAACACATTAGCCCTGAGTCACACATCTCAAGAAAGTTCACATACAGATCACCCCGCTTGCGGGCGCTGCTGCAGTCCGACTCTGACATGGCGATGTCGCCCAAGGTAGCTTCGCCCGATTGGATGCGCTGCTCATGGCCGCGGAGGATCTCAATAGCCTCCTCTTTCGACCGAGTGATCTCGGCCTCCCGCCAGCTGCTGGGTCGTCGGCTATCCCGGTGCTTCACCAGGAGGTGGCTGCAACGGATCTTTCCCTCACCCTGGCCGATCCCGTGTCCTGCAGGCCCGCTGTGATAGTCGGCCATGTATAGCTTGAGCTTCTCGGTGTTCGTGTCGGCGGGGGGTTCCCATCGGGACTCCTTGGTGCTCGGATTGAAGTAGTAAGGGAGGTTCTTGGAGTTGGAGTGGCGAACCTCCCACCCTGCTGGAAGACCTGTTTCTACCTGTAGTGGAAGATGGGGTGTTAGCAGTAAGCTTGGGAAACAATGACTGCAGAGGGTATAAATGGGTTGAGAGGAATGTGGACGGTGTGAATACCATTATGAATGTAGTGAAGGTTTGTGTGTTTTGTCTCTAAGAGAGGTTTATGGTTCTTTATGATGTCTGATGTGCTGACAAAAAGAGGCTGAGAAGAAAAGCGGGGATAACTGAAATGTGTATAGCTTTGTTCTTTCTGCAGGTCCGACTGCGGGACAAACTGCGGGGGAAACTTGGGAAGACACCGAGAGGGACCCCCCCAGGCAAATGGTGCAAACAGCCCAAACAGCCCAAACAGCACAAACCGTGCCACCGACCTCTCCACATGGCTGGCCACCTTACCGCTGCTGTTGCTTCCGCTCCGCCTCTTTCTTCTGACTTCCATCTCCCACTCATCTCTTATCTTTCCATACCTCAGCCCTCATCCCGTCTATTCAGCCACTGCTTCATTCTTTCACTCACAGCGCTTTACTTGCACTTCCGTTAAGACCACGAGAACGTCTCACTCCTTCTATCTTCCCCCAAAAACACTACCGTCACTCACCGTCTTATCCATACGCCGAAAATGTCTGCAAGCCCAGCCTCCTCCGCTGGCGGCGAAACCAAGAGCGCCGACCAGATTCACTTTCGCTTCTGTCGCGAATGGTAAGCGCACCTCCTTTCATCTACCCCACTTGACTTAATGCTGATGAGAATGTCTAGCTCCAACTTGCTGTACCCCAAGGAAGACCGCGTCAACAACCGCTTGATGTTCACATGCCGAACTTGCCATGTCGGCGAGCCCGCCACCTCCTACTGCGTCTACCAAAACAAACTCAACACCCAAGTCGGCGACACTGCTGGTGTCACCACAGATGTGGGATCTGATCCTACGGTTTGTCTCCCGGGTTTCTGTGATCACTGCGGGGAAGAAATTGCCTGCTTTGTCTGCGAGTCATCGTCGGAGGAGTCATGGTCGGAAGAGGACTATGATGACTTCATGATGAACTGAGACCGGACTTGGTTCCCGTTCAAGGGCCACTTTCACATTACCTTGGGATTCTGTGGCTAACCCCCACCTTTTTCTTGATATTAGCTTCCCCGGTCCAACAAGCTCTGCCCGAGCTGCGGTGAAGCCGAAGCAGTCTTCTTCCAGTCGCAACAGCGATCTGCGGAAACCGGAATGGTGAGGCCTTTCTGCCTGCAAACTCCCCATCTCGAACATGCTGCTGACGTTTTGTTTGCCTTTTCTCTTCTCAGAAACTTTACTATGTCTGCTGCGCGTGCGGCAATGTCTTCATGTAATCTTGGAGTTTTGTGTCTATTTCTGACGACCTGATACCCGATGTTGGTCTCTTTTCTTGCTATTTGCTGTGGAGTTATGGCGATGCCTGGGAAAAAAACGTTGCGAAGATCTTAATAGAAAGAGATGCAAACCGTTTATTGGTACAAGCTATTCAAAGTGAAACAGAACAATTCGCTTTCGGGAGGTATAATTTATACATGCATGGGCGCCAATGACAAAATCTTCGACCACTGTCTTCCTCGTAATTCCGTAGCCACGACGCCTGTAGGGTGTGTTAGTCTTGAGCCGTGTTGTTTAAAGAGGTTTGTTGATGGTGCCGGACTGACCGTTCATTCTGGTTCCGATGGGCTCGCCAGCCTTGTTGATCAGGACACAGGCATTGTCATCGAAGCGGACGATCGAACCATCGGGGCGCTGCATTTCCTTTCTGGCGCGAACGACGACGGCGTGACGAATATCACCACGACGGACCTTGTTCGCGATACCGGAATTTCCTGTCGAGTCGGAGCCGAAGCTACGCTGCTTCTGAACGACCACGACGATGCGGTCGCCTAGAATTGGAAAAAGAATCCCTTGTTAGCGATATTTTCCAGGACAGGTAGTAGGTCGTAGAGACATACCAACGGTGGCGGGGCGCTTCTTCTTCAAGACCTGGACACACTCGACCACGGCGGCGCCCGAGTTGTCGATGCAGTTCAGCATCGTCTGCTTACCCGCGTCAGCAACCCGATCTCGGGGTCAGAACTGCCCAGAGAATTTTTTTTTCAAATACCTTTAGTTGAATCATTGTGACTGTAATGCCCTGAACTGGGGGGGAACAGTAGTTCGATGGGGGTGGTCAATCGGGTTTGGCTGGACTGCCCGAAAGATTTCCCAGCCGCAGCAGCAGCAGCAAAGTCCCGGGCCGGCAGGTTTCGCCGATGACCGACCCCGGACTAGATTCACTAACTTACTGTACTGTACTGTGCCTGCACCACAGGCGCTGAATGCTGACTGAAAGACTGACTACCGTAGACTAGACTAGACTAGACTAGACTAGTTACTTCAAAGTTAGCCATAGTCTTACTAGTCATACATACTAAGTAGCTTATGGACATCCGCTCATCGCATGGGCAACCAGCGCCGTAATCTGTGTGTTCCTCCCAATTTACTCACTCACTCACTCACTTAACTCACCATCACACATCTTTCCACTCCACCACCATAATCACAATCCACCCCCCCGGCTCTTCTTACATGCGCGCTAACCTTCAGTCTAGCCCTGCTCGTTTCCTTTGTTCATCATGTCAATTTTCTTGGATTTCCTGTCCTTCACTCTTTAGTCTTTCCCCCCCTAATTATTAACCTTCTCATCCAATTGGCGCTTCCCCGTACCGAATCCATTTACTGTGATTCTTCTCCGACTTTCCGCCGCTTCCCCTTGACGCATTGACGCACTCTTTCGGATTCCACCTTCGACGTCCCTTTCCTTGGACTCGAGCACCATTACTTTTTTTTTTTTTTTTTTTTTACTATGGGATTTTTTCTCCCTCGCAGAACATCATGCCGTCTTCGAAGGCGAGATCGAGTCCTTCCGCTGAGCGTCGCGACCGTCTGACTTTGGCAAGGCTGGCAAGTTACGATGATGTCGCAACCGATGCGCTCGTTGATCGTGTACGTCTACTGACCGGGGATGGCTGCGCCTGCACTGCTTGTTGACTGAAGTACGTTTTTAGGCCCACTTCTGGACGAATACTCGAAAGAACCGGACGAAATACATTCCTTTACGGCGGGTCAAGGATGATGAGATCGCGAACATCCTGCTCCACGATGTGATCGTGAAGAAGGATGTGCCAACCGCCGAGCGGAAATTTTTGGCCATGGACGGACTGAAGCGGTTCATGGCGAAGCTGCCAAACGACCGCGAAAAGGAGTGGTTCACCCGACACTTACGCAAATACATCCAGATGTATCTGCCGGATTCGCCCTTCGAGGTCACCACGACGAATCGCTACCTGATCACCGAGCATGAGGCGGCCATCTGCGCCCGTAAGTTCATCAAGCAAGGTGAGGAGATCAAGTACCTCAGCGGCACCTTGGTGCCCATGACCCGGGAGGAGGAGCAGGACTTGGATTTGAAGAGGAAGGATTTTAGCATCGTGATGTCGAGCCGGAGGAAGACCCCGTCGTTCTTTCTGGGCCCGGCGCGCTTCGCCAACCACGACTGTAATGCTAATGGTCGGTTGGTGACGAGGGGCATGGAGGGGATGCAGGTTGTCGCGATCCGGGACATTTACATCGGCGAGGAGATTACGGTCTCGTACGGCGAAGACTACTTTGGCATTGACAACTGCGAGTGCCTGTGCTTGACGTGTGAACGTGCCGTGCGGAATGGGTGGGCGCCTTCCGAGCCCAGCGACGAGCCTGCCTGTGCGGACACTGGCCTTCTAACCCCTCAGAAACGCAAATATGCCCCCGATACCGAATCCGAACGCTCGCCATCCTGCACCCCTCGCAAACGCACAAAATTCACCCGACAGAGTTCGAAGCTGCGATCGGAGCTGTTGCTTTCCGACGCCCCCGCATCCCCCGAGTCCGCGACAGGTCTGTCGTCCACGAACGCCGGTTCCTCAGCACCTAATACCAGGAGCCGGAAAGCTGAACTCAAAAGCGAGGCTCTCAACGAGGTCTGCATCCAGAGTCCCAGCGCCACTGACTGCACGTCGCCTAGCTCGCTTGCCGGGGACGAATCTCACCACTCAGCGTCCACTGTTGCAACGTCCATTGGTGAATTTTCCGTCCAGATCAAAATCGAGGAGTCCACCGAGGCCTCGGTTCGAGATACGGTACTGATTGGCAAAGATGAGCTTGCCACCCCCGGTGCAAGTCACCCCGATGGAGAAAGGCACCTCGCGTCTCGTGAACATGATGCCCTATCAGATTTATCCGAGTCCTTGGAGCTAGACGAGAAGCTTGGAACTGTGGTCGAGAAACTAAACAAGGCGCGGAAGCGAGGTGTCGTTCCTTCGGTCGAGGTTGAGTCACAGCGGGCTCGAGTCCCCGGAGACTATACCAAGACCCCAAGGTTGCTCGCACAGGTTTACGATCGGTGGGTAGACTGCCGCACTTGTACTGCTTGGTTCGTCCAGCAAGATTCCTACCTGACCAGACGTGAATGTCGTCGATGCGAACGGCATTCGATGCTATATGGCTTCCAGTGGCCCAAAACTGACAAGGAGGGTCCCAACGACGACGAAGAACGGGTCATGGACCATCGGGTCATCCACCGATTCCTTTCCCCCGAAGAAGAAGCCCGTGTCTCTCGCAAGGATCGCGGTGTCAGTTTTGGCGTGACTCCGACTCCGGAACTGTCGGAGCCACGCACGGAGACAGACGAGAGCGAGGCGTGCGATGAGCGTCGCAGCACGCGAGCCAGCAGGCAGCGGACCCGAGCAATGCGGATGACCTATTAACGATGGCGATGTTTGAATAATAATTGGTTTGGGCGATTTTTGGGCACGGCGTTTGAGATCAACTGGAGCCATTCCCAGTGGAACCCAGGCGTTGGATGATGACGAGCATGAGCGGTTTGACACCTTTGACAGCTTTTGGCGGCTATTACCTATGGACATATTCGATACTTTTGATTTATTCCCTTTCTTCTGGATTTCCTTTCTTTACCTCTGGACCGGAGGGGCTCCACTGTACAGTGCTGGTCGGCGTTCCGCTTCTGATCTTAGTTGTATGCTTACAAGGCCTATCGCAACACCCAGACCATCTTGGATTGGAATCGATGATCTTTGTCTGCAGTTCGCCGGATATTCCCCCGGAGCGTCTTCGAATCATGCGTGTCTGCCTTCTCCTCCTTGCTTCCCCGCCAAACTCCTGCGACTCCGCATTTTCGCCATGACTGCATCGTGAGGGAGAATTCAATCGCACCAATGGTAGACAAGAAGTGCCACGCTTCCCCGGTTTTTCATGGCATCTGACGAAGGATTTCTTTAATTGTTCCTGCACCGCATATGCAGGTCAATACAACTTCGGTCTCTTTCTACCCGATCAACGGTCGCTCATCATGGCCAAGATGTACTTAAAAGCCTCCTCTTTCTCCGACTGCCAAGATGCCCGCTGTACGACCGTGTGACCAAAGCATGCCAACATGATTATGCGATCAATATCCCGCGGGGTCTTGTGCCTCCTAGCTCTGTTCGTGTCTGCGATCAACGCCTACGAGGCGCCTCTGGTGACTCTCGACTATGGAGTCTTCCAAGGCAGTTATGATGCGACTTATAACCTTTCCTATTTCCGGAAAATCCCATTTGCAGCACCCCCCACAGGCGAAAATCGGTTTCGAGCTCCCCAACCCCCACTGAGCATTACAAATGGCACCTATGACAGTAATCAGGCCTTCGATATGTGCCCTCAGCGCACCGTCAATGGCTCGGAGGACTGTCTATACCTCGGACTCTACTCTCGGCCTTGGGAGGTCTCCTCTGCGAATCGACCTGTGCTGGTTGTCTTCTACGGCGGCGCCTTCATCCAAGGTAGCGCATCCTTTACCCTGCCCCCGAGCGCCTATCCAACTCTCAACGTCACCACCCTCAACGACTATATCGTGATCTATCCCAACTACCGCACGAATGCCTTTGGATTCCTCCCGGGCCAAGCGATCAAAGACTCATCCACCTCCGACCTCAACCCGGGCCTGCTGGACCAACAGTATGTCCTCAAATGGGTCCAAACGAACATCCACCACTTCGGCGGGAACCCCAACAACGTGACGATCTGGGGCCAGTCGGCCGGCGCGGGGTCCGTCGTCGCGCAGGTCCTGGCGAACGGCCGCGGCAAGCAGCCCAAGCTCTTCAGCAAAGCCCTCGCCAGCTCGCCCTTCTGGCCCAAGACCTACGCCTATAACGCGCCGCAAGCCGAAGCCATCTACTCCCAGCTGGTGAATCTGACCGGCTGCGGCAATTCCACAGTGAAAGACTCCCTACACTGCCTCAAGGCCGTCGACGTGCAGACCATCCGCGACGCCAGCCTCGTCATCGACGCCAGCCACACCTACACCACCAGCTCCTACACCTGGGCGCCCGTCATCGACGGCGAGTTCCTGATCGACACCCTCACCGAGGCCACCGCGCGCAGCGCCCTCCCCACGGACTTCATCTGGGGCATGTACAACTCCCACGAGGGCGAGAACTTCGTCCCCGCCGGCCTGGGCTCTACCACCACCACATCCACGGGCTTCAACTCCTCGCTCGCCAGCTTCCAGTCCTGGCTCTCCGGGTTTGTCCCCGGTCTGACCTCCCACGAGATCAGCCTCCTCGAATCCCAATATTACCCGCCGGTAGGCAGCACCGAGACGATCGACGACTATAACACGACCCTCGTCCGCGCCGGCCTGATCTACCGAGACTTGGTCCTCGCCTGCCCGGCCTACTGGGTCGCCTCCGCCGCAGGGACCAACGGGTACCTCGGGGAGTATACCATTTCGCCCGCCAAGCACGGCAGTGACACCGAGTGGGTGAGTTTTTTTTTTTTTTTTTCGCTTCCTCGTTCCCTCACAACCTAGATCCTAGTTTTCTAATTCATTTGTGGGGATAGTGGAACCAAGTAAACGCCGTCCAACAATCCGACCCCCTTATCTACGACGGCTACGCCGGCGCCTTCGCCAGCTTCTTCCAGACGGGGAACCCCAACGCGCATAAATTGACGAATGCGTCGCAACCCGGCGTCCCGCTGCTCCGCACTACGGGCCAGGAGTTTGTGGTGGAGGTGGACGGGTTCGAGAATGTGAGGTTGGTCGAGTTGCCGAGACGGTGTGCGTTTTGGAGGGTGGTTGCGGGGAGGGTTCCTGTTTAGTCGCCTTGGGTATGCGTATACAGTTCCTGTTTGGGAGGAGGGGGAAGGAAAGGTGATGTGCGGGCTTCGGTTGTGTGGGAGTAAAGTGATGTGTGTTTCTCTGTGGTGGGTGGATTCGATAGGTGTAGGTTGTGGAATGGGTATGGGTACGGTCATGGGTCATTCACGGTGGTGAGTGGGTTAGTACGCGAGTGAAGTGCGTGAAAGAGGTTCTATTTTGATGGCTGGGTGAGACGACACGAGTACACAGTACAGAGGACAGTGTTGAGTAGAAATCTATGAGAAAACTATACATACAGGGTTATAATACATATCCTAAACCCCGATCTCCAATCCCCCGGTTGCAAAGAAAAAAATAATGCAGGTCTAGTAGTGTATGATATCAATGAAACGTTTCCATGCCGAGAGATATTAATTGCCTGCGTCCCATTTTTTGCTTTTGAGAGTCCACCCTTTTGAGAAATAAAGAAACGCCGGAGTAGTCGTAAGGTACAGAGTTATCGGAGGGAGTTGATGGAAGAGAGATTATACAGTTTTTGAGAAGGGTCAAGTCGAGGGTTGCAAGATGCAGGCGGCCTAGATCAAGGCCTGGCCGCGGAACATGGCCTCGCGGACCTCCTTGACGACATCCTTGCGGTCGTTCTTGCCGACCAGGACGACGGCGCGGCCGCGCTTGCCCATGCGGCCGAGGCGGCCCAGCCGGTGGATGAAGTCGATGGTGGTGCGGGGCACGTCGTACAGCACCACGGTCTTGACGGCGAGGGTGTCGACGCCGCGCGAGGCGATGTCCGTCGACACCAGGACCTGGACGTTCTCGAGGCGCTTCTCGGGCGGCGGGCCGGCGTACGGGTCGCCGCCGGCGTTGACGAAGGGGATGGAGCGGTCCTCGCGGCGGCGCTTCTTCTCGGTCTCCATCGCCTCCAGGACCTGGGCGGCGGTCATGGGCGGCGCCCAGTCGGTGAAGGGGGCCAGGATCTCGCGCTCCTTGCGGTCGGTGACGTCGCGGGTGAAGGCCTTGGCGTCGATGCCCTTGCTCTTCAGGAACTGCGCGACCTCGGTGGCGTCCTCGCGGCGGTTGACGAACACCAGGATGCGCTTGTCCTGCGAGCGGGCCTGGCCGGGCCCCAGGTCGTCGCCGCCGGAGTCGCCGGCCTTGCCGATGGACCAGATGATGTCGGCGCAGGCGAGCGGGCGGTTGCCGTTGTAGGGGGGTTTCTGGACGTCGATCACGCCCAGCTGGACGCGGCGCGGGATGGCGTGCAAACTCGGGGTGGTCAGGCGCTTGATGTCGGGCCAACGCTTGCGCAGGGTGGCGTCCATGCCGCGCGGGATGGTGGCGGAGCAGAGGACGAGCTTGTGGAGGGAGGGGGTGGCCTTGCTGATGATCTCGTTGAGGATGGGCGAGAAGGACTTGTCCATGAGACTGTCGGCCTCGTCGAGCACCATGTAGTTGACGCGGCTCAGCACGTACGGCTCCTTCTCCGCGATCGAGGCCAGCAGGTGCGGCGTCGTCACGATGATGTCGACCCCCTTCTCGTTGAACAGGCCGTTCTTGATCCGCCGCGGCGTCAGGTTGGAGGCCAGCACCGCGGACCGGAACTTGACCGTGTGCGAGAAGGCCTTGAGCTTGTCGCCCACCTGGAAGGCCAGCTCGGAGGTCGGCACCAGGATCACCATGCGCGGCCGGGCCGCGTTCGACAGCGGGGGCTCCTCGGGCGCGATGTCGAACGCCCGGTTCTTCGTTTTCAGCTCCCGCTCCTTTTCGCGCTGCTTGGCCTCCTCCTCTTTCTTCTCGTGGGCCGCCTCCGCCGCCTCCAGGCGCTTGAAGTTGTCCAGCAGCGGGATCAGGTATGCCAGGGTCTTGCCGGAACCGGTCTCCGCGGCCAGGAGGTACTGTTCGTATTTGGGGTCGCTGCTCGGCGGCGCGCCCAGTGGCGGGAGCGGGTCCTTGAGGAGTTCGGGGATCGCAACCCGCTGGATCGGGGTGGGCATGAGATCCGTCAGCCCGGGGAGCGCCTGGGAGGAGATCGAGTGGTGGACGACCGACATGAGCGGGAAATGATCGAAGCTGGTGATCTCGGCGATTCTCTCCTTGACCTTGGTGCGCTGGGCGTAGGACACCGGCGCCAATGCGGTCTGCATCTTCAATGCCTTGTATAGAGGGCTCTCAGGTTTGCTACCCTTGTCCTTACCACCATCCTTCCTGGGATCTCTGTCTCCCCGGCTGTTCCCCCGGCTGTCCCTCGTCTGGAAACGGGAGGATAGCTCCTCAGGCACCTGGGTGATGTTTGTGCCGCCCCAGGGTCCCTTTCTCTCCCGCGACGCGCGAGGAGCTAGTGAGGTTCGAGACACGTCCGAGGACAGGGCATGGCGACTCTTCTTTCCGCGTCGTTCTGGTCTCCGTCCGATACCGCGGATGGCCTGCCATCCGGTGAAGGGCGAGAGGGTGGAGGAAATGGAGGGTATGGTGGTTCGGGTTTGACAGAGCAGACATACTCTGGGCCGGAGTGGCAGAGATGAACGGCCAAGACGATTCATCCTGAGGGAGGAGAGGGAGGGAGGAAGGGAGGAATTTGAGTAGACGCAGGAAAGAGGGAGGAGATGAAGAGAAAGGGAGAAAGAGAGAGGGAAAGGGGAAAGGTGGAGAGCACGAGTCGGTCGAATTGACCCGAAGCTGCAAGAATGAGGATGGAGAACTGCAGCGGAGCAAGGTAACTGAGTGAGTGAGTGAGTGAGTGGCGGAGAAGATTCAGCAGGCTCCAACCGAATCGGGAAGGCGCTTGGACCAGGTCAGTTGATCCGAGCGCTAGGACTGAATTGAGACTAGGGCGATCGTGACAGGTTGTGCCCCAGGCCGCCAGGCTGCCAGGCACCCAACTACGTAGTTGTTTTTCCCCCGACCGCTCGTGGGCCTGCCAACTGGGCTGTGGCTGCTTTTACCCGGTCGAGTCCCTCAGCTGAAACTGAAACCCCACTCTTTCCACCTCCCATCAAGGCAAACCAAGGCTCAAGGCTTTATTGTGGAGTTGCCATAGAAACTGCCGTCACTGAACCAGACGTCGACATCCCCTCCTCCCCTGCAGTCACTGCAGTTTACGCAGTCACTGCAGTCACTGCTTCCGCTTTTCCACTCTTTGCCCGTCCAACTTTCCAAGATCTCGAGTTGAGTTGAGTTGAGTTGAGTTGAGTTGATTTGAGTATTGATCAACCCAGCCCCCGTCAATCAATCAGTCAATCAGTCAATCAATCGATCGGGATCTTGACTGCTGCCCCGTGCCTACCTTACCTACTTATTATTTATCGGGCAAAACACGTTCCTCTTCTTCTCGGTTTCGTTGTGTTTTGATTTTCTCTCTTCTTCTTTCTTCTTGCTTCTACTTTCTATTTTCTACTTTCTACTTTCTACTTTCATCCCAGCGAGCAACCAAAGTATTCACTGCCTTTCTTTCTGTCTTCCTCTCGTTGGTTCGTTTGGTGGATTGGCCTGTGTTCTTCTTTCTCTTATCGCATCCCATCAGCCTTGGCTTGTTGATTGTTGTTAAGTTACAGGTTACAGGTTACAGGTTACATTTTACAGTATACTTCTTACTACTTCCTTCGTTTGATCGCGAATCGCGACAAGACACTTGACGAATTGGCTGCATTGGGTGACGCAATCTTATTCTTCATTTCCTCCATTACCACCATTTCCCCATGTGCTGTGCAAACGCCTTTTTGAAGTAATCGCGACGCCATCGTTCTCCCTTCATTCCTGGATTTGCTGGCCGTTTCTTCTTGTCTTCGGCTTATCAGCGCGTCTCTCTCTGTGTGTGTGGGTGCTTCTCCTCCCCCCCCGGTCCCCGTCCCCGTCCCCAATCGTAGGCCGCTCCAGTTCTGAGCGCGTTCTTCATCCCGCAAGGGATGAAACCTCGTTGCAGCGACCTTGCATTGCTAGGTGGTGTTGCATGGACAGTTGCTGATTCAGCTGCCAGCGTTGTTTTTCCCTCCCGGCGCCTCGTTCCTGCTGCATTCCATATCTACGCCTCTGATTGTGGGTTTCCACCAAGATGACCAGCAATCCCGGGCAAAGTCCGCTATCAGAAGTGAGCCCAATGGCTCAACGCAGAAACTCCCCCAGCTGGAACCAAACCACTAAGGTGCGTGGCTCCCGCGAGTCGGTGATGGGCGCGCTGGGCTGACCAACCAACTGCAGATGGTGAAAACACACGATGCGTCGCCCTATGAGGCACCAGCGTCACCGCGTCTTTTCTGGCAGGGTCGCGAATCAGCATCTCCCTTCCATAGAAGCTCAGAGAACCAGAACCTCTATGATCCTGATGCCTCAACATATACTCCCTCCAAGCGCCCGTCTTTGGAAAACCTGAAGCGCGCCTCCAGGGTCAAGAATAACAACATGTTCCGCGACCACAATGCAGAGTATGACCCCACGCAAGTCTATGTTCCACAGCGGCCGTTGGCCCTCAATCGGTCATCCCAGAGGCAAGCGCAGAACGCACCACCAGCACAGCAGCCCGACCCCCAGGACACCAACCCGGTCGGCCCGCGGCCCCCTTCCCCGAGCAAGGACCAGGTTGCCCCGGCAAAATCCTCGCTGTCTCGGGCTAGTCGATTCGGTGGTAAGGACGCTGCTTTCGACCCCGAGAACGAGATCTGGTCGGACATCGACGGTAGTCGACATGCTAAAAGCGTGACATTCGATGCGGCTCCTCCTCAGGTGAACGAATATGAGATGACAACTCCGGATCCATCCTCCGTTGCCTCCGACTCCCGCGAAGGTAGCTATGACTCCGAGGAAAATGAGAACGATATCAGCTTCGATCGGGAATCCTCGCTCGAGCGCGACGACAGCTTCGACGCATCCCTGGAAGACCTCGAGAAAACACCAGTGGTGCTGCCGGAGGACTGGCGCTATATGAGCCCTGAATCTGCGAATGACGAACTGGTCGAAGAGGGGGAGGGCCAGTTCACCGAGGATGACGAAGACCATAGCCCCATCCCCCGCCCGTCCTCCCAGCAAGAGCATCCCGTGCAGCATGCCCGGGTGGAGTCACTGGATTCAAATGTTGATCGCCGTCCCCTTCCTCCTCTCCCTCCCACTAACCGGCCTCAATTCCCTCAGCGTGGATCGCCGGGAAAGATGACGGCCGCTTTTGAGCTTGGAAGTGGGAACCAGCGCGTTCTGCCTTCTCCACCAGCCCCCGCATCTTACAGCAAATCCGACATCACGGAACGGAATCACGGCCATATGTCCCTGGAAGAGAGGCTGCGTCTGATGATGATTGAGAAGAAGGAGCCGATAACTGAGGAAATCGAACTGGATGGCCCGGAGACACCCAAGGCTCTTCCCGAGGAGCCACAGGAGCAGACTGCAGTCAAGGAGGCCCCTGCCACTCAGGAAACAGATACTGCAGCGGAGGACGACGCAGATGTTTACACCCCTCCGCGCATCTCGAGGGATTCGATTCTCCGAGATCTGCGTAAGAGCGAGAGCTTCCTGGATGACTCCTTTGAAGATGCTTCTCAGGCGGAGTCTAGCCCCAACCATTACTTCGATTATGACCCGGACGTCCCAATTCCTTCCATGGAGCACGATCATGATGATAGCCACGACTATGACGACGACGATGACGATGAGACCAGCAGTGTGATCATCAAGCCCGAAGAGCATGATGATTCTCTTTATGACATTCCAGAATACTATGAGAACGTAAACTCGGAGCAGTCCTCTTCGCAAAGCTTAAAGGATAAGGTGGATGATGACGAAAGTCGTTACTCCAGCCAACCTCCGGAAGAGGTGTCCGTGCTGGAGGAGGATGACTCGCACGACTTTGATGACCGGCAATCCACACCACTTGCTACCGTGCAGACACAAGAGACGCCGGTCAATGTTACTGTTGATGCCCCAGCTGATGAGACGGCTAATGAGCTGATTGATGAGTCAGTCGATGAATCACTTGATGAGTCGCAAGTATCTACCATCAGCGAGGAAAGGTCTGCTGATAAGATGGCCGCCATGCGGGAGTCACTCCAGCGCCCATCGACGCCGGATAGCCAGAATCAATTATCGGAGCCTTCTACCCCTGATTCTGTCGTTCGACACCCTGTGGCTGACGAGCAGAGCGATCGCGAGGTCTCGCCAGACGAGAGTGTTCCGGAACCGATTGCCACAGTCAAAGCACCAGGAACTCGCCTCAAGACGCGTCCCTCACTGACCCCAGCCGATATGGAACAGATGGCAGCCACTCGCCGGAAGGTTAGCGGACAGGTGCCACCGCCAATGCCATACCTTACAAAACAGGAATCCAACGAATCCCAGGCGTCAGCACCCGGTGATGCCGTGCCGTCACTACCTCCACCCGTGCAGGAGAATCAAAGACAGAGTAGTCTTGTAAAGCTGGACATTCCGTTCAGCATCCAGGAAGAAGAGAGTCTTGGATTTGGATTGGACAAAGAATTCGATAGGGTCATTGAATCTCAAAAGGTGGCGTTTGAACATTCCCTCTCCCAGCTGCGTCTCCACGGCCAGGAAGCACCCAAGCATGGACCAGCCCCCCCGTTCTTGAGTTCGAGACAGCGGACTAATGACAATTGCCCCAAACAGAGAGGTTATCTTATGCGGCACAATACCAAGGTTATCATTGCGAGCAGCAGCACGGAGGACGACACTGTGCCGACTCCAGGAGAAGATCCGGCTGAATCTCGAGCCACACGCGCTGCGCCCACGCCGCGTAAGGCCAGCCAGCAGACTTGGACCACTGTACCCTGGAACGGTCAAACTCGTCGGGCGAGTATGAGAACGGCCAGCGGAGTCGTTCGAAAGAAGGCTACGTCAGGCCCGGTACCGCCGCTCCCAGGCCAGCAAAGCAGCGTCCAGGAGCCGGCAACCATGATCGAGGAGGCGGAGCCTGCTCTCAATGGCGCTCTCGAGGAGGGTGAAGAGCGAGGCCGTCTCTTCGTCAAGGTTGTTGGGATGAAATACCTCGATCTGCCTCTGCCACGAGGTAAGTATTGAAGCTTGCGATTAGTTTTGTGGTTCATTCGCCGCTAACCAGACTGTAGGTGAGAGATCGTACTTTGCCCTTACTTTGGACAACGGCCTGCATTGCGTCACCACCTCTTGGTTGGAACTAGGCAAGACAGCGCCCATTGGCCAGGAATTCGAGCTCATTGTCCAACAGGACCTTGAGTTCCAGTTGACCTTGCAAATGAAGGTGGATGAGGACAAGTTCCGAGTGCAGGAGCCTGCCCCTACTGCCTCGCCTAGTCGCCCCAAGACTTCCACATTTAGCCGTGTGTTTGCTTCTCCGCGCAAGCGCAAGGAGCTCGAGATGAAGCAGCAACTTGCCACCCAGCAAAACAAAGCCAAAGATATCAACGCTCCTGTGTGGGAACGATTGAGGACTTTGGTCGCCAGAGATGGCAGCTTTGCGCGCGCATATGTTTCTCTTAGTGATCACGAGAAACACGCCTATGGTCGGCCTTACAATGTTGATATTGCGTGCTTCAATGAATGGGCGGTTGAAGAGCAGCCAAGCAGTGTCAAGAGCAAGAAGAGTACGACGAGTACGACTTCTCAGCGAAGACCTCCTTACAAGATTGGTAAGCTGGAGCTCCAGCTGTTGTTTGTCCCCAAGCCCAAGGGTGCCAAGGAGGAGGATATGCCCAAGAGCATGAACGCCTGCATCCGGGAAATGCGTGAGGCGGAGAGTGTCTCTGCTCGTAGTTTCGAGGGATTTCTGTCACAGCAGGGTGGCGACTGCCCGGTAAGTTCCCTTTGAGACGCACCAGGTGTGGCTTTTGCTGATGTCGATGGCATGTATAGTACTGGCGTCGTCGCTTCTTCAAGCTTCAGGGATCCAAATTGACCGCCTACCACGAGACCACCCGTCAACCACGTGCCACGATCAACCTTTCGAAGGCAGTCAAGTTGATTGATGACCGATCTTCGCTGATGCAGAAAGAGACCACCACCCGGGGTGGTGGCCGTCGAAAATCTGCGTTTGCTGAGGAAGAGGAAGGTTACATGTTCGTGGAGGAAGGCTTCCGTATTCGCTTCGGCAACGGCGAAGTGATTGATTTCTACGCTGACAGTGCGGTCGACAAGGACGGATGGATGAAGGTCCTGGCCGATGCGGTGGGCAAAGGATCTTCGGGAAGCAGCCAGGCTAAGCTCTGGACCGAGATGGTCCTTAAGCGGGAGCGGAGTATGAAAGCGAAACGGGAGTCCACCACCGCTGCCGCCCCTGCTGCTTCCGCTCCTGCTGCCCCTACTGCTCCTGCTCCTGCTCCTCCTGCTCCTTCTGCTGCCGGACATCGTCTCAGCCAAATTCCTCCTCCGCCTCCTGCCAAACCCACCTCGTCCATTCCGATGCCAACGGCGCCGGCGCCGACCTCGGCTTCCAAACCTCGACACAAGCACACCCAATCTCAGCCGGACGTTCGCGGTGCGGATGCTCGACGACAGAAGACCCGGTCCTTGATGTTCTAGACGCGTGCGTGAGTGAGTGAGTGGTAGGAGCAGTGCGAGTTGCGCTGCTCAGCTTGTACGTTCTGCATTTTTGTTGTGTATTCTTGCGATCTGTCCCATTCAAATCTGCTTGTTTATTCATTGTCGTTCTTGTGCTTATCTTCCTGGTGTCGGAGTCCAAAGCCTGCGCTGCTGCATTTTTCTGCTTCTTATCTGATAGCCTTTGACCCTTTCAAAATCTCCTTGTGCATTCAGCGTTGACGCTCTTGTTTTTGTCCTTGCGGTGCCGTACTTGATACATAGCGTCTTTCCTTCACAAGTTCATAATGAATCTTGATCTTTTCATGTATCATAATGCGGTAATATATTGTTCTCTTGGGTGTGGTTTTGCCTATGTAAGACTTGGAAAGAACAGTCGCTTGTGTCCGCGTGGCATTTCCGATGAGCATGTTGAATGCTGATAATATGCTGATAGATTCACTGGCCCAGAGAGGAACATGTGATTCTTTTGAGAATCATAGAATCGGTGAGGAAGGTAGAAACCTGCAAGAGTTCGCGGTGGTTACATACATAGTCGCAGTTCCGTTATCACGTCATGCCACCCGATGACCTCGGGCGTCATACACACGCCGATAGAGCAACCAAAGGTATTATATACAGTTAGTTCTACGTTTGGTAGTACGATGGGCTTCCGCACATCCTTTACATTCTATTCTGTATATATATCTAACTCCGAATTCCTAGTAGAGAAGCAGAAAAAGACATATATATATATATATATATATATTGTTTCATTCATTCTTTATCTTTTTTTTCGACAAGCGTCTACATCTACTCCTCTCAAACCCTTCCAACCTTTCGAGCCCCACGTAAGCTCCTTCCTTGGGCCAAACACCCAAATCAAAACTCAACCACTCTGGTCGATATTCGCCTTGGTCGCCCCCTCCTCATCCTCCGACTCATCCTCGATCTGCGCCAACGCGTCCTTCTGCGATTGCTTCACCGCATTCCCATCGGTGGCGGTTCCTTCCTCGACGGCGCCGGGGACGGGCGTGATCTTGGCGGCGGGGATGCCGCCGGAGGTGACGTAGAGGAATTCCTTGGAGGAGTAGTGATCGAGGTGGCCGAAGAAAGCGGAGAATCGGTGGGTGTGTTAGCTTTGGACTTTCTGCCTTTTGTTTTGTTTTCTTGGGGGTTTTTCTCTTGAGGGGAAGGGGTTTGCTTAGGGCAAGGCAAGGCAAGGCAAGGGCAAGGCACGGGCAAACATACGCATTAGTCTCCTCCTCCTCGCGGAAGATGCGGTCGTAGATCTCGCGCTGCTTGAACTCGTCGATGGTGGCCTTGTAGTTGTCGAAGTTGATGGGCTGCTTGCTGGTCTCGACGGCCTTCTTGTTGTAGACGTCGAACACGGGCCGCTCGAGGAGCAGGCCCAGCCCGGGGGCCTTGGGGATGGCGATCTTGGTGGGACCGTAGGACTCTGGGATGAGGCGGGCGGGGTCGCAGCCGGCGCGCACGGCCATGGCGGCCATGGCGACCATCTTGCGGATCTGGTGCATCATAAAGCTCTGGCCGTGGACCTTGAGGCTGAGCCACTCGGTGCCGTTGATGAGGAGCGGCGACGAGGCCGAGACGTTGAACGATTTGATGTGTCGCTTCGAGGACGGGTCCTTGTGCGTCTTTTGGATCGTGTAGTTCCAGAAGTTGTTCGTGCCCACGTACTGCGACAGCGCGGCCTGCACGCGTGCTAGTCGGGTCGGCGAGATCCGGTACGCTCGCTTGGCTTTCAGGTAGGCTTGTTTGATGGTCTTCACCGTGCTGATGATCTGTTGGCGGCGGGCTTCGTCGGCGGAGGGTTCTTCGGTTGTTGTTGTGGTGGTGCTGGTTTCGTCCGATGGTTTGGGGGTGGGTTCTTGTTCCGGGTCTTGGTCATCGTTCATGTGCAGGGCTTGCTCGACGAGCTTGCGGATCTCCTCGGGCGTGTTCTCGAGGATCGGCCGGATGATCTTCTCGTCGGTTTCCTCCCAGAACCCGGCGACTTCTTCCTGGCGCGCGCGGTAGCCCTCCATGTCGTTCTCTTGCTCGGCGAACTCGACCAGCTGCTTGCCCAGGAAGGTGCCCGGGTGGGGCGGCAGGAAGCAGTGCGTGGGGATCAGGTACTCGTAAATGCGCGAGTCGCACAGCTGGTAGCTGCTGAATGACTTGTTGGTGACGAGAATGTCCCAGACGCGGATCTGCGGGCTCAGCTTCTCGTTGATCTTCTGGATGATGTCCGGGTCCTCGACGATCAGCTTCAGCGACACGATGTTTCCGGCGGCGTGCACGCCCTTGTCGGTGCGCGCGCAGCGCACCAGCGACGACTTCTTCGGATCCGTGGCGTTGGCCTTGGAGATAGCGCCGGCGGCGACGAGAGCCGTGAATAATTCGCCCTCGATGGTCTTTTCGGTGGTGCTCCTTTGTTTTCGCAACGAAAGCGCATTAGCTGGCAGCTCTTCACCTATTTACCCGCTGGCGTAGGTCCTTACAGTTGCATGCCCTTATACCCCGTGCCGGAATATCCCATCAACACCGCAACCTTCTTCTTCGGCCGCCGTTGCTCATTCTCGATATCCTCCTGGGAGAATTGCGTCGCATAGACGGGCGCCTGCACCTCCTCGCCATTCTCAAGTTTCTGGCGCTTGACCTCCTGCTCCTCTTCGTTGCGAGCGCGTTTATCTATCGTTTGACGACTTGCTTGGGTGGATGAAAATGTCAGCTTGAAAAAAGTTTCGCGGCCGCAGCCTCCCCCCCCACCTCCACAAGTTCAGTAGATCTTTGTTTTTTTGCGAAACAGAAAAAGAACATACCTCCACTCCGAACGGCCCAGATTCCTTTTTTTACGATTTTCGCGAGCGTCACCGGATCCTGGTGTAGATCTTCCTTCGTGATTGTCCATTGTTGGAACTCTTTGACGTGATTGCGATATCTGCGACTCTCGAAGCGGACTTGTTGCTGGCTGTTGAGGGATTTGGGGATGGAGCGTTGACCCGCGGCGGGTGAGCGAGGAATGGATCGATAGGAGAGACTCGGAGACTTGGGGAGCCCGAGAGTTGAATGGCGGAGGCTGAGGTGGAGGAATTGTTGTGGCATTGGAGATGGAGATGAAATTATCATGGCGGGCGGGCTTTTCTTGCGCTCCGGAGGGTGATTTCTCGGGCCCAGCCAGTCATAGTAGCCAGCCAGGCTATCCCTCTCCGAGACAGCTTCTATTCTTGGTGCCTCAGGCGTCAAGGCCAACCTCCGCTCATTCTTCCTTCATCTCCAACGCTCCTCCGTTTGTTCACTTTCCCCTCCGCTTTCTTTGATTCCAACCTTTCTTTCTTTCTTCCCTTTGGTGGTGTCTCTACTACTCCGGCGCTTATTCTTCTTCACTCTCTATCCCCCAATCCTCGAGTCTACATCTCCCCCGCAGAAACCAGAGAAGCATGTCCATCTCGCTCCAACTCACCCTTCGAACCCGCGCCTAAGCCCGGATAGCCTCCCTCCCTCAGTCACCACTTTTGCGCCAATCCCCACCACATCCCAACACCCGAGCGTCTACCTTCCATCTCTGCAAGAATCGAACCTCCAGCCGTCACGCCAAACGCTCACACGATGGATCTCGCCAACACGCTCATCCGAAGCGTGGTCCGCGCCTTCTACGAGACCCGCCACATCCTCGTGGTCGATGCGCTCTTCATCCACTCAGTGTATGCTGCACCAAGCTTAGCTTACTATCTTACAAAACACCTTACAAAGACTGACTGCGAAATTATGAGAGAAAAAGTCTTCACGCAGAAGACCTCGCCTTCCTGCTTGGCATGCAACAGAAAGACCTCCGCAAGTTATGCGCCAAGTTGCGCGAGGACCGGCTGATCTCCGTGTACGTCTTACCACTCTCCATAGCGCATTCTCGTCTTTCTCCTACTGCACCTACTGAAAGCAATCAAAACACTAACCCTAATCAAACCGATACAGGAGCACGCGCGCCGAAATCCGCGACGGCTCGACCCGCCCCGTCAACCGCGAATACTACTACATCCCGCTGCACCCGGTGGTGGACGCGATCAAGTACAAGGTGTCGAAACTCACGTCGACGATCAAGGCGCAGTACACGCCCAGCGAGGAGCGCAAGGAGTACGTGTGCCTGCGGTGCGGGGCGGAGTGGACGGAGCTGGACGTGCTGAGCCTGTACTCGGAGGAAGGGTTCGAGTGCCAGAACTGCGGGGCGATCCTGGAGCGGACGGAGGACGTGAAGGGGACGGAGGGGATCGACCGGACGGGCCACGAGAAGAACAGCAAGCTGATGAACCAGCTGGACCCGATGCTGAAGCTGCTGAAGCAGATCGACTCCGTGGAGGTGCCGCCCAACGACTTCGACACCGCCTGGGACCACAAGGTCGACGTCGTGCGCAACCAGCAGACCAACCCCACGCGGGCCTCGGTCGTCGTCCCCTCCAAGAACCACCCGGAGTCCGTCCGCGGCAATACCAAGACCGACGCCACCGCCCTCGAGATCTCCTTGACCTCCAGCGAGGAGAAGAGCGCCGCCGAGCAGGCCGCCGAGGCCGCCCGCAAGGCCGCCGTCGAGAAGCAGAACGCCCTCCCCGTCTGGCACACCCACTCCACCGTCTCCACCGCCGCCGGGAGTAATCTGCCACTTGTGAAGACCGAAACCGATGACGGCGACATCAAACCCATCATCAAGGACGAGGACGAGGACCGCAAGCCCGACGTCGACGGCCTGGACGATAAAGTCGCCGCCTACTATGCCGAGATGGAGCGCGAGAAGGCCCTGCAGGCCCAGCAGGACGCCAGCAGCGACGAGGATGACGAGGACGATGAGGACGACGAGTTCGACGAGGAATTCGAAGACGTCGGCGGCGTCTCCGCCAGCGAAACTACCAGCGCCGCCTCCCCCACCGTTGCTGGTGGTGGTGGTGGTGCTGGTAGCGTCGGCCCCACCAGTGCGCCCAAATCTACCACCATAACCACCACAACCGCCC